AAACTGTATTCAATCTCTTGCCAAGATTAACAGATGCAAACATGGGACATTGTCTTTGACATTACTCAAGTAGAATGCAGATGCCCATCATGTATATTTCAGAGAAGTAGAATCTAAGACTACCCTTTACCTCTATCTCTTCATCTCCTGGTTGGAAGGCTCCGGAGGTGTTGAGGCCCATATCTGCAGGGTTCCTTCGCCCTCCTTCTCCTCTCCGCCGGCCCCCTGAGCCCCGGGAGGACATGGAGCTAGAGGAGCTTGGGTCTCGGGGGCTGTTGACTGTAGGGAACTGTGGTCGGCTATACGGCATAATGTCTTCTGGACCTATAAACAGGGAACAATAGTTAAGAATCAAGGTGCTACCCATCGACTGAAGAATTTTTTCATGCTGTAACTATTGTAGTACCTGCATGCTGGCGTGCTTTGTTGGTAGTGCTACTCTCATGTTTATTCCCTTTCCCTCCGTGAGCAGTCTTTTGTCTATCCTGAGCATCTTTGCGTTCAGATGAGCTGGTTCTGGGGTCCGAGTCCTCTCGGGCTCGATATCCCCCTGTTCCTCCTCTCTTGTCTCGACCTTCACCGGCTTTGGGGGAAATCACTCCCCGGCCCTCCAGAGCTACCTTGGAAGGGTGTGTAGGGGACTTGAGCACTGCTGGAGGGGGGATGGGTGGAGGTGGGAGATCTGAAAAATAAACACAGGAAGCAAAAGCACATTAAAAACAAAAAAAACCCCACAAGAGTTTAGAAAATTGCAACAGACTGGAGAACAAGATCTGTGTACTTATGAAACTTTAGTGTGTATCATCTGTCACTCACTTGTCTCACACCTGCAAGGTGATGCACAAACACAGCTGTGATGTGTGTACATACACCCAGAGCTGCAGACATAGCCATGCTGAACGGAAACTCCTCCGAACAGACAGTAAACAGAACAGATGACATTAGAGAGGCTGAATCTGCCAGAGAGTTATGAGATTTGAGCAAGAGAGGAGGGGAGTGTGACGGTCAGCAGCTGCCTCTCTGGCCTATTCGACTTCTTCTGTCGATGAATCAATGCTGCTTGTCCTTGAGCCATTATTCATATGAGACCAGCCAGTGAGCCGCCTGGCCTCTCACACATCACACGGCTATCTAAACAAAACGCGGAGCAAAAAGCCTTGTCTGCTTGCGATCAATGGCATTTCATCTTCTAATCAGCTACCAACCTGGAGGATGGTTTTGTTGGCAGCCAGACCCATAATCCACATTGGATTAGAACGTTATTAAACATAGTGAGTGTCAGCTCTTACACTTAAGATCTCAGTAGCTACCTCACAGACTTTAAGACAAAACTGGATTAGAAGAATCAAAGAATTTTATTCTTTTTTTTAAACACACAACAAGCTAATGGGGCTGGTGATGTCTTTGCTGTGTTGTCTTAGCAGTATAGTGAAGCTTCAATACACTTTCCTGATTATCCTCCACTCCCCCTTGAATACAAAAGGGATGGTCAATATCATATAGCAGAGAGGCGTCTGCAGTTTTTTAATATCTGTCTTGCCTCCTGAGTTCTGCCTCAGTCAGACTCCGATCAATGCCACAGTCTTTGAGCTATAGCTTGCTACAAGGGAGGAGCTGAGCGCCTTTTAGATTTACGAGGAAATATCGGCGAGAACAGAGCTCAGGTCTGAAACTGTCTCCGTCTCTGCCAAGGAGGATTAATCTGAGGGTCTGGTGGTTAATTAGGCAGGCAAGGCTGAAGCATATCGGAAGAGAAAGGAAAGGAAAGGGTTAAGTTCGGTGAAAAGGCAGACAAAGGCATCAGAGTCAAACATAATATGAATCATGGAGAGAATATAACTTTACGTCAACTGTGCAAACAAAAGAAATGACTAGGTCAAAAAAGGATAAGTAGTAGGGAAGTGAGGCTGCTGAGGTAGAGGTGTTGTTTTTTTTTCTCTGGTTAGCAGTCTTAACCTAAAGATATTAGGACACCTCAGAGATATATAAACAAATGACAGATATGTGTTTGCCTCTGTAAATGTAATTTGTGCCTAGAAAACAGGGTTTGTGTTTCCTTTCTTCTAAATTTCATTAAATCTTTTTTACCTATCACCTCAGAAGCAGTATTCCAAACCACAGACAGGGTATGGAGGGTGGGAGGGTGGGTGGTTGGGGGCAGGGGAGGCAATAAACTCTAAATGAAAAACAATCCATTCAGATCAAATGTAATCAGCAAGAGGACTGATAGGCAGACAGAACTGCAGAGCTGTCAGTACGCCCCCTCCTTGCTCAAACAAAGACGGAGCAGAGCAGGAGAGGAAAGGAGAGGAGAGTGGAGTGGGATGGAGAGATCACGCCAATGGGAGGGGCAGCGGATGGGGAGGAAGCCAGGATATAAGGATGATGGTTTTGGGGGGGGGGGTTCTGCAGTGATAGAGCTGGTCTGGCTCCCAGTGAGCTGGATATTAAATCTCCCTGTCAAGTGCTTCCAACACTCAAGGACACCTGACACTAAGAGGAGAGCCAGCTCTGGGACAGCACATGCTGTACACACAAGAGTGACAATGTGCACACTCTCAAATACAGATACATTTAAAAAAAAAGATCTTTCCACAAGATCAAAGCAGAAAGGAAGTGGGGAAAAACAGGTTGTTCATTGGTAGGCTTCTGAGTTTTAAATGATGGTGCTATAAAATGTTAATTGCTCTGTCCCTTAACAAGGTTAAAGCTTTTCCTTCTCTGTGCAGCTGTTCCCGTATTTAGCCTCCTTTGAGTTTATGTTCCACCCCTACTGAGCTAGGTGATGCTTCAGTATGAGCCACAGCACCTTGATCCATTTCATTAGTGGCTAGAGTAGAGAGACATCCTAGTGTCAGCATCTCCAAGCTGGGCAGAGCCCCCGTGAGACAACCCCCCTCAATTTCTTCCCACCATGGCCCTGGCCTCCTGCCCACCACTCGCCCGATCTGTTCAGCCCTGCCACAGATTAGGAGTGAAGCCACGTATGCATGCGCATAAACACATGAGAGAAGATGATTAAAATTCTGGCTTACAGCACACCCATACTCAGTCATTTACAGACACTCTGTCACAGATAACTGCACTTCTCCCTTCCATATCTTTACAGGAAATATAGGAGCAGTATTGATACAAACTGACCATCTGTGTACTTGTGGGATACAGCTAAACTGCTGCCACTTGTCTGTGTAAATAATGATAAGTGATAAAGAGACTGTGTGTGCCCGGATGGAGATGATAAACATTTAATTTTCTTGATAATTGATCATTTTTAGATGATGCATAACACACACACACACACACCATAGGCTTTAAACAAAAAAAGACCTGAAAGAAATATTCGTTAAAACAAGACTCACTATTACTTGAACCTGAAATGTTTTTACTTAATTGGCAGAAAGGGTTTTTACTATTTTATCTTATTACATTTTTGGTTAGTAATCTACAATATCAAATGAGCCTGTTTTAAATATAACTAGATGTAATTAAAAGATGTGTACCTTCATTGAAAACTTCACGTCGCTGGTTTGCTGGATGACCTACTGGATGTTGTTTCTGCTTTTTAGGAGGCCTCCTGTGTACAGCGGCCATACTCATGTTACTGTCTGTAGACACCGGGCTGCCAGGACGGTGACTTGATGGGTTTATTTGGTATTTTCGTGCTGACAAAAGAAACAGAACAATAGTTTTTTCCCCCTCTTTTTCTTGGACAGCAAGAGAATAAAATTATTGCAGAAACATTTCCTATAAAAGTGGTCTACTTTACCCGAAGCTCCCCCAATTTCTTGGCCCTGTGAATTAGGGTACTTTGCCACCCTGAGGCCTGAATACTCTGCAGCTGCAGCAACCGCTTGAGCAAAGTCGGCGTCTGTGAAGAAGGATCCATCTGATGAGCTGACTGCACTGGATCTCCCCGAAGAGACATTATCCTCTTCGGAAGCTGACCCCCATCCGTTGATCATTGAGCCCGTCACTGAGCTCTCCAGGTCCCCCATGCTGGATGCAGGCGTCTGTTCTAGCCCTCGTAGCAGCAACCTCCGCGGATGCATCTGGGGATGGTGAGGGTTTGTGTGGGGGTGGGTGTGGTGGTAGTGCATCTTAGCCACCTCTGCATCTGTCTCATCGCCGTCCTCCTCTTCCTCCAGTATGTCCTCCTCCTCCATACCATCCGTGTCCAAGGCTAACGGGGTGTTGATATACCCATATGTGTGTGAAGGAGACATGGGCCTGGGAGGGGGTGGGGGGCTCACAGCATGGCGCCTATAAAAAATGAGAAAAAAACTCACATCAGTATCTTATAAACTGTAGAGTTTTTTGCATCATTAAATCATAGTTACCCAGTTATGGAAAAAACAACTTAATCGTCCCATGTTTTAGCCAATTGACTACAAATGAGGTGCTTTACTGTTGATGATGCTGATGATCTTCTGATGTCACATTAGAAGTTAAGTTTTGATCACCCCAATGATGTGAATTTGCTAATTTATTTTAAAATGGCTTCTCTGTGGAAGATGAACTTCAAATTCATTATGGCTTTTCCCCCCTCCTTCAGGCACAATGACAGGGATGAGTTTTCCAAAACAGTTCTATCTCACAGCTGGATTTCTGCACAATTATAATCACTGACAAAAATACATTTGACTAAATTTACGCTGATGTGCTACCTATTTGAAACACATTTATAAAAAAAAAAACCCCTAATGTTCTACTGCTTAAATCCTCGTACTATACGGAAATGAACTGCAACAAATGACTCCCCAGAAGGTAAGAAATCAGTCTAAAACCTAAGATGTGCTTTTGAAAAATGGCCAACGGTGCACACAATATACAGACGATATACATGGAGTTTAATGGGCTCAATCAGGAAAACAGCCATGAATTTCAAATGCAAAGTAAATCATATTTCTTTATGAGGCTTTAGAGAATAGATATATTTCTTGAGGATTTTTTTTTTTCTTTTCAGCAGCTTTCTTCTTGCAGACAGCTTGACATCATGCTGCTGTACCTGCGTTCATGGCTGTCTGGGGCATCCTGGAGCATCGGCTGCATCTCCTCCTGGGGTGAGGGGGTGAGAGTGGCTGTGGACTGGTGACTGTAAGACACGGCAGCAGGGGAAGAAGCTGCCCCACGGATGGGAGGAGTGGGCCCCCTCTCCATCTCTTCTTCCTCCTCCAGCTCATCAGGCTGCAGGTACATGTGAGAGGGGGGCATGGGGCACTGCATGTCTGGATCACAGCTGCCAGCAGAGAGAAACAAGCCTCATTACCTTCATATCGCTCAGCAAAAACATGAACTTTTTTTTTTTTTGAAGCCAGAAAACATCCTCTAAATATTCATGTCAGCCTTCTATCAGAGTCTGACATGAACCTAGCACTAATGGACAGAAAATGCTCGGGGCAATTGTTTGGAATGAATGTGGAGAAAAGGCAGCAGCAATGAACTAGTATTTAAATATACTGTCAGATCAGATGACCATTTAGACATGTCCCACCTTTCTTCCATCGGTAGAGAGTATTCCTCTGTGTTCCGAGTTGGGGGTGGGTTTGCAGGAGGAGGGGGCAGAAGGTCAGCCCAATTCATTGTGCTTTGTTTGGGTACTTTGGGGGTGCGCACTCCCTTCTTTTGACCCTGACTCCCTGTTCACAAAAGGGAAAACGATCATTCACAGGACCGCTACAGATACACATACTCTCTGTCTCTAAAAATCACATCAATTATTAATGCTGGAGAAATCACAAGGTAACAAAGATACTGACAGCAGAGACGATTGACATTAATAAGGCTGACTGACAAGAAAATGATAATTTTACATGTGAGAGTGAAAAGGCTAATGCAACTCTCCAATTTATGTAAGTATGCCCATACTGCTCAGAAATTAAATGAGGGGAAATACTATAAAACAGCTATTTCCCTGAAGGGGTATAACCCAGTATGAAGAGAAAAGGTAGAAGGAAAACAGCAGAAAAGGGTCCAATTAATAGAAAACTATTAAAATTGTGAACCAATGAGCTGTGATGTGCAGGCAGCACTAAAGGCTGCTCCTTAATGGCTTGAACTTCAAACGCAATATCAGAATGGATACATGGCATTAAGGTGGCAGTGTTGCATGCCGTCTGCAATGTGTTATCATTTGTCCTTGTCCAAAGACAGACATTGAGGCCATGATGAAATTAGGCTGCTCCATACTGGAATTAAAGTAAAGCCAATTAACGGAAGTAATGCAAAATAAGCAAGGACAAACCCAGAAATAAAAAGTACAAAACAGAATAACAAACACAAAATAATTTGAAGATGCATTTCCTTTTATCTAATTTGCTTTAAACATCCTTGGATGATGTTGCATAAAGAAAACAAAAAACAATGGAAACATGCTCTCATGCCTTTGTTTCAAAGTGCTGTTGGCACTTGTGTTTTATTCACCATGTTTCCACACTGAACCCTTTGCTTCAAGATGGGCTAACATGCAAATTAATCAAATTACAATTGAAAGCATATTTTATTAGTGGCTCGAACTGATTTAAAGCCTTTGAGAAAACTGGGATTTTAAAATGGAGCTTGAGGGTATATGTGATTATAGAATTCATAGTAGTAATTTAGCTGGAAAAATAATATTTTGCCTTTTTTTTTTCTTCCTGCGAACATCGAATGAGAGTCTGTGTTGATTTGTATAACTGCCGACTGCCCGACCTGAAAAAACTCCTGTCCTTGATCCTCTAACCATCTTACCGGAGGTACTACTGCTGCCTCGGTCAGAGCTGTTGTAGGAGCCCCCAGTGTGGCTGTCATGAGTCTGGCTGTAGGGAATGGTGGCTGGCATAAGGCTGTCACCTCCTCTGTAGCGATCTGGTGGTGAGGATAGTGAAGGATATAGTTATTGCAGGGAGGCAGGCGAACAGGGACACCACAAAGACGACTACTTTGTACTAAACAAAGATCACCACTTTAATGTTAAACAATATATGGAGTGAAATGAGATTACAGCGAGAACTATGTATTTAGCTACATATGAGGCATGCAGGTCATGCTTTCATATTCATTCTCATGTGAGTATGTGAACACATGCAACAGCTGCACTGAAATCTTAAAACTATCACACCGGCTGTGGTTCCTTTCTGCAGGTACGACCAGGTGATGATAGCTTCATTCAAAGCATCTTTAAAGATCTTTGAGTTATCTTTATCTTTCCTTTAGAAATCTGACACCAAGGATAAACTCTCACACCTGCTTTCGTTATAAAACGAGACACCCCAGATACCAAAAGATGATAGCAATTCAAGCCTGGCCCTCATTTAGCAGTAAAGATTCTACTCTATTGTGTGGAGAGGTTGCATGAATGCCATAAAGACAGGCAGAAAGACAGTGATGGTGCTTTTGTTGAATGAATAGGACTGAGACAGAGCCAAGGGATACATGAGCATGAAACTCTTCTACACGTATCCAGAGTGGGGCGAAACAGCCAGGAGAAGAGAGAAGTGAGGGAAAAATCGAGTGGAAGAAGATCATGGCTTGGAGTTGGCCTCTCTAAAGATGGCTGCTGGCTATTCCACACACTCACCCTTGTTCAGCTTGTTTTGCTCCATGATGTTGTACTGCAGCTGGGAGCTTATTTCCTGTTTCTGCTGCTGGACTGAGGGGGGCTTCCAGCAGTGTTTCTCATTCACCTCTCCTCCACCCACGAGTCCACCTCCACTCCCTCCAGTCACTCTGTCTGAGTTCATGTTGTTTCCCATAATGGAGGACTGGATGAGCTGAGTGGTGGCATAAGGTGTCGGCTGGCCCCCTGGACCTACAAAGCGGCCATCTTTAAGGTTTGGGCTGTTGAAGGTCTTCATCTCATTGATCTTGTTGGACAGGTCTACATCTCCATAGACTCCTGACTCAGGCACCATAAGGTTGGTCTGCTTGTTTTCCATCTGGTTGTTATAATTGGCGATACAGTCGGCTGAAGAACATGAGGAGGGCATTTAGTCAGTCTTTTCTACTGCTGATCAGCTTAGCAGCAGTATGCCAGTTTGGCAAAAGATTTCAAACAATAAGGCATCATTTCATCTACTGTCGAGCTGAAAAAATTAAGAAAAGCAACACATTTTTCATCTCAAGCTTTTTGAATGATCCCCACCTTCCAGAGAGACATTTCTACTTATGCTTTAAGTCTCAGTTTTGTTTGCAAAAATGACGATCTGCTCTAGGTGACTGACACAGGTTATGTTACCCCCTTCTCAGTTTCACCCATGACTCAGTGTAGGTGTCATCTGTGTTCTTTTTCTTCTGATGGTTGGGAGCGTCTTTGCTCATTGAGAGGGACGGAGACATGTCTGTATCAAAGACCTGGAATGAGGCGTGCAGTAAAAGCACAGCTTCACTGACAGATCCAATTTTCCCTGGCTCATAAAATATTCAAATCCTCCAGCAGATCTGAGAGCCAGCCTTGCGGTAAATACCAAGGACGGCCATAGGTGCGCGCAGCTCGTGCCACGTAACTCATGTTTCAGCTGCATGGAAAAGCTCAAACACTTCAAAGGTTGATGTGTGAAAGCGCCCCTATGGCTGAGATAAAGGGACATTAACTCGTATTTCTTTGCTCTGTCACCTAGTCAGTGATCCTCTTAATGTTCAGAATTTAGGTTTGGCACACACACAAAGCATGCGTCTGGCAAGCTCCTTAGTGTCAGACAGCAGGGTGTCATGCGAGTGAGGGCTGCCTCTAGCCTGTTATTCCCTGTTAAACATCTCAGACCATGTTAAGGTAGAGTTAAACACTTCAACCTCAGAGGGGTGATTAGCACAAAGAAAAACTCAACTTGACTATAGTCTACAAAATGAATTATTAATCCTCACTGGAAAGGTTTGAAGTCAGGAGAAACTATTTAGTGGCTGGATGGATATTGGATTGAACAGCTGGACAGGAATTATGTGCTGCCCTTAAAGGCATAGTCCCAAAGTGCATAATTTAGAACATAAAGCATTTCATTGCAATCCAAGTTCCAGAGGATAGAGGTTTTTTGGTCATGGCTGTTAATTATTAATATTACGTCCTACATCATACTCTGTGTGTGTGTGTGGGGTTTGGCAGCAATGCATAAGATTCTGAGGCCAAATATGCTTCCCTTTGTTGATAACTGTACTAGTGCTAAATAAACTAGAGGCCACCTGGTGGTGTTCTCTTTTTTCCCCCTCACCCTACTTATCTTATCTTTGCTCTGTATTTCTGACAATACATCTCACTGTATCATTTAACATACACTTATTCTTCATCACTACTTTTTCCTCTCTTCCCATCTGCATTTCCAGGTACCCCCTTCTCCCTCTATCATTCTCTTTTTCTCTGCATCTGGCCATCGTCTGCAGTCCAGCCTTGACCCCTTCGCCCGCTGCACATTTCTTAAATAACTGAGCACTTAGGGGAAATTACATTACCGGGTATAACAACTGTATGGAAATCAGCAGAGCAATTTGATTAGCAACAGAGTAGAGCTATGAGCCCTGCTCAGTGTGCTCCTTTTATTTCCTGCCTAAAACAGCTCTACTTTAACCTCAGATAAATCAAACACACAAGCGCACAGCCTCTCTTAATCCTAATATTTCTCTAGGTTTTTCTTGTGGAGACCTACAGAAGGGAGCGATACACAGAATAACTCTCCAGGGAGCTAACCTAGATATCAGATTTTACTTCCTTTTGCACTGCAGATTCCCCCAGCTCCCTACATTTCTTATCTCTACAGTTATTTTGTCAAATGATTGCATTGTTGCCTTCGAGAGGAGGGTTTATTTTGGTTGTTGACTACATACGGCACTGACAAAACATGCATACCTGGTCGGCTGTATGTTGCCAAGTTGCTGTCGCTGTTGCCATTGCCAGCAGTGCAGCAGTTGATGCTGCAGTCATTGTGGTTGGAACATGAGTTGGGCCATGTGTCAGCCAGCCAGGGTTGAGTGGCAGAGTCCCCAATGTTTAGTAAACCAGGCCTGTGGACAAAAAAAAGGAGGAGGAAAAAAACCAAAAAGGGCACCAAGTGGTTAACAATAGTAAGAAACCAAGCCAATGCCGCAGTGACATTTATGTGAATGAACTGCAACACCCACAATAACATAATATTTGAAAGAGAAGATTATGTGAGTTTATTTATCCAGCTGAGAAGGGGAAAAGTAGAAATCCGGCTTTAGCACTTTTTGCCTTTCGGCCACACACAGGCCCAGGGAGCACATTAGAAAAAAGCCCAGCTAAATAGATTGTGTGTGCTTGGCTTGGCCATAGCCGATGACACTTTCCCTGAGCCGTCGTGAGCATTAGCGATCCGCCTGGATTAGACAGCTAGATAAAATTCTCTCCCAATGCTGCGAAATCCACGTCCTGAACAGGCAGTGAACCACAAATACTCGCAGAGTAGATTCCACAGTGTCACACAATATCTCTATCATTGGAAAGTGTTTTTTTAAAGCTGTACACAAGGAGAACAGACTTGAGCAACGGAAGAAAAATGCATCCTTATCATTGTTTTGCCATCCATCTCTGTCTTGTCTCCTGTTTTTCAACTTTAATCCAAATTCAAATCAAGATGGCTCATTTAACAGGATTCTACTTTAATATTGGACCTTAAGCCAAGTAAAGACAGTCTGTTTTTGCTCATTGAATGAATCAATTTAGTATACAAAAAGAATGCAGGAACATATATTGTTTGAGTATCCAAATCTCTATAGAGTGACTCTGGGTTCGCGTATCGAAACAGTGAATTAGCCATGAATTACATTTTCTCATTCCCTCTTAAATGACTCATTTCTTGGATTCATTTTGGGTAATGAACACATTTGTCTTGTACAGCCAAATACAATCTCACAATGACTCCTCAATCACCCTGGCAGTTATATGTTGATACTGAACAACCATTGTCTTTGTGCAGAGCTGACAATTCAGTCATACAACTGAATAATATAATGATGGCTTCAAGCTAACTGTTCATTAACACAAGAAAAACACACGCATACATTACAGTATTAACTATGTTTTGGACTAGAGTAAAGAGCGCATAATGAATGAATGCATATTTTCCTGTTTTTTCCCTGCTATTTACCAGTTATATGAACACATGCCAAATGCCATCCAATGGATATACAGGTCCAAGTCCAGACATTCTTGCTGTTTATGCAAAATGCACAATTCCACTACATTAGGCGGCGTGCTGTTGCTGCTGTGTACATGCATGTAGCTCCATTAATGTTTTATGGTGATGCTACGGCACAGCCTGGTGGTTGCATGTGGTTCTCCACCATTTGGGACAAGGATGGGCACTTGCCAGACTATATGGGGCTTTGTTCCTGTAGAATTATTACATACTTAATGCAAGTCCTTACCCCTCTCCTCTGCTCTGTGCTATCTTTGAAAGGCACAGCACTCCCCCTAGTGTTTGTCAAAGAAAAGTACACAAGGCACACCCTACTAATATACTCCGGAGGTTTAAGGATTCTTTGTATTTGAAATTACATTCTTAGCATTCATTCACTTAATGCGCCTGTTTAAAATAATTTTTTTTTTTCAAAGACACTAAATGAACTCTTACCTTCCAGCACTGCTGACACCTTCTCCACCTCTTTGATATGCCACTGAAAGAGAGAAAATGAGTTTGTCGTGATTCCACCAACGTTATGATCGTCGTGATGTCCTTCTTTTCACCACAGTCATGTAAGTTCAACATGAAATTCTTTATTTGAGTTACTTATTTTCTTATTGAATAATTTATTTATTTTTAATTGCCAATTTTGTGAAAAATGATTGGGAGACTTCCTTTTAAGCTAGTGCTGTGTTTTTGTTTTTGTGTTTTGTATCAGAGCAAGTGAGTGTGCGATTGAATGCATGTGTCATCATTTCAGCTGAGTCATAGACACACACGCACACACGAAGCAACAGGAGCAGGAGGATGTGTAAGAGGCTTATGAAGAACAAAGATGCAGAGCTCTTTGGTTGTCTGGCTCGGGTTCAGTGTGTTTGAAGCTCTGTGTGCTGCAAGTTGGACTCTTTCAAGGAGCTCTAAGCTGCCGGTGTGTGTGAAGGAGAGATAAACTTCCAACTTTAATTACAATCTCTTCTCTGAGAGGAGAGAAGGTGGAAGAGGGGTAGGTTGGGCCTTTGCTGTGTTGATTCCATGTCTCTCTTTCAGAACAGGAAGTGTGTGGTGTGGTCTCTGCATGTAGCCAGAGGAGATCTTATGCAGAACTAAATTATCACAGTCTGGTTAAAGATGGAAATCAGTATAATGCTCAGTAAAGTCCTGGTTTCACACAGAGTACCAGGGCAGGGAATTTCTCTCTAAAGAATCGAACCTTAACGCACAAGCAAGGACTATGTTTCAGCTGAAAGATTTCCATGAAACAAGCCTGCCACTGCAAAATTATTCTACCTGATTGCAAGCCTCAAGGCAGACACAAAGCGCACTGCTACCGTGTAGATACAATCCCTGCACAGACAGGATCAACCAGTAGAACAACAAACACAGAGTGCACTGGATTGTCTCCTTCACTGTTACTTCCTCTTATCTATTCACACTGTTTCACATTTGCCATTTCGCTAAACACCGCCAACACCCTTTTACACACCTCAAGGGAACAAGGAATTTCCGAGGGATGAAAGTCCACGAGTGAAAGAAAAGGTGGAGAGAACTGTAAAGACAGAGTTGCAGGGACAGAAAGATACAGATATACAAGGAGCTTTTCTTTTATCTGTTTTATGCTGTGTCACTTCAGCTCACAGATAACCTCCTTAGCTCTGCTGCCACTTGCCTATTTAATTGGTGTGTTGGAGACTCTGGTGGTGTGTCATTCTCCTAAATCCCCTCTGAGGTTGCCAGCAGCCCTTTGATCAAGTTACCACTACTATAAAAACAGATTCTTGGTACTGTGGCCTCTCTTTTTTGAGCTTTAAGTTCTGAAACAGCTCAAATATTTGCTGGAACATTTATGTGGAGGTGGACCATTGCTGTGCCAATTAATTGGGCCTTATTTGTTTTTTAATTAAGTGTTCCTCACCAACTTCTCTACAGCTGGTAATTTCTCTAATGATTCTATTAGGACTGTGGCTGTTTAATTCATTAAAGGACGCTTTTCCCAACGGCAGTGAAAATGTTTATGTTGTTATAAGATATCCTGGTTTGGTTTGTATCTAAAAGGAAACAAAGAGGACAACCTTCCCACTGAAAGAATACCATATATTACAGGACAAACAAGGGATCTTTGAATAGGTTTAGGCATCTTTTTTTGGATTTTATGGGGGATGTGTATCTGTCATTGTCAGATTCTGATTGTTTTCTTGTGTTGTTTTGTTTGTCTTCCTTTTTTCCTGAATTGGCCTTTTTCTGTTGGGAAACTGGACTGAGATGTGCTTAAGGTTTCGAGCACACTGTTTGGTATTTTTATGTTCCAAGAAGTTTGTGAAAATGGGAAAAGGCCTGTGCTGTAGTACATTGAGTTTATAAAAACATAGATACTGTATGTACTGCAGGAGAAGGCGCTTACCTGTTGGTGTAAAAGTGAAGGATGGCACTGTTGGAAAAGACAGAAAAAGAAAGTTAGTGAATTATCAGAACTATCTTTCTAAATATTAACTCCACAAAATGTATAAGTTTCACAATACACTTCAATAGCCTGTATTCACACGCTGCATGCTGCTTGCTAGTCTTTGATCCTCTCAGACATCCCAGAGGGAAAATGAATGTTGAGCCAGCTGCTGGTTCAAGTCGTGGCCCAGACTGTCAGAGGCCTGCTGTTCAGAGGTCTCGCACTGTTGAGATGTCTGTTGCTATCTCAACACTCACATCATCACCCTCACAACTTAATTGCTCGCACAGGCATGGAAGGGATTGTTTATTAAACATCCATCTACTGTAGTAGGGTTCCTGTTTTTGAAAACTCTTGTAGAAAATAGGATCCTAAGTATCTGATATTTACTGCAAGAAATTACTGATATCATGCTATAGTTTTTAACTTTAACTTTGTGACTTTTTCAATACAATATGTGGCAGGCAAAGAAATGCATCAAATTCTGTTTTTTTCTTTTTTAGATTATTGCAGCCCAACAAGTAATTATGGCCTGGTCATGAAAGCCTTAGTACAACATTATTTTCCACATTTTCATTTTTATTTTTATTTATTATTACATTTTTTTTTAAAGCAATGGTTTATGAAATGGTTCAGAAACCCCATGAAAGTGGATTAAATTCTTTAATAACTTCTATATTTTTATGGTCTTTAAAATATAGCTTAGTCGTTTCCCTGTTTGAAGAAGTTAAGAATGCTCCAGTCAACACTCCAGTTGATGCAACTTTGCCTCATGCTGGTAGTCATCCAGCACACTGCCTTAAATATGTGCATTTTTTAGAAATGTTGCACTTTGCCTTCCGACTAAAACTGCATTTGCGAAGAGACATCTAAGAAGCAGGATAGTGCTGCTGTCACATTTTTATTTCCTCAAACAATTACCTCATACAGTACCCCGTGCGAACAGATGTCCTTTAAACATCACAATCATCTTATCACGTTTGAATCTTTCCCCTTGATGCTCAAACAAATCGAAAGATATGAGTGGTTGGAAAAGATTATCTGTTTGATGAAGCCTTTGAAGAAGAGACGTACCCAAAACAGTCGTGAGAAACGTGACTAACATGCATAAATCAAGAATCAGGTTGCCATTCTCACAGATGTTTGTTCCCAAGAGCGATGAACCAGTATGTAACCTGTGACTGTATGTAACTGCTGCTTTCTCCTCTTAAAAATGACTTGAGCTAAAAGATGTGAAGGCTTCTGTAGCATCCCATAATAACATTTGTGTTACACAGTGATGTCATTTGTAGTATTTCGAATAATGACGAATAACGCCATGAGGTCATGAGGGAAACAAGAGAAAGCTGTTTAGACTAATTTTGCATTGACAAAATAAATGTAATCTTTTAGAGACGGCGCTAGGATATACTGTCACACACAGATACACAGTAATGCAAATTCAGCTTAGCGAAGATTGTTGATTCATGTGGTTGCAATTATACTCTTTTCAAAACAAAGACTGTGGCCTCTTCTGGTCTGGGAGCACCAGGAGGAGAAAAAGGGAGGTATGTCTGTCTCCTGGTTTTCTAAAGAGCTTCCATCTTCCTGTCTTTCTTTCTTTTTCTTCCAAATTTGACCAAACATCAACATATATGATTCACAGCGGGACATGAGGTAACCTTACGCTACACTGTCTTCTCATCTCTCACCTGACCTCGGATCACGACTGCATTCATTAAATATTGGTCTTCACTTTGTTTTCTCTGTAATCTAAGACATAACAAAAAAAAAAACCCACAATAGCTCTCACAGACCACACAGGTATTTGTAAATGTGCAGGAGATCAGGATAAGCTTAGCTGAGGTCTCTTTTACTTTGAGAGACACTGCTCCCACTTTTATCATGGCTGGAGTAAATTAAGAGCACGGATAGCCACAGATTTACAGCTAAAATCATTGTTTGTGTGTGCATCAAGGTTGAAGGGTCTATCTTCTCTAACCTTGGCAATCAGCAGTAAACCTAAACCTGGAAGTGAGGCTGTAGAAGGTAGCACTCACAGGCAACAGCTGCACAGCCCAAGGCCACACGTTAAGCCAGCCAACACATAAATGAGACTCTGAAAGAGGGGCTAATGGCGCTCTTTATACTCTAAATATTGCGGGCAGAGGCTGGGGATGTCATGAACCTCATTACTTTAAGTCGGGTAAAAAAAATGAATGAGTTAGGCAGAGGCTATGCCAACATCCTTGAAATACAGTCTTTGAGTTTTTGAAACAAAGGTATGAGGTCCTTATTAACCAGAATGAAATAATTGGCTGCTCTGTATCTGAAGGCCTCTCTCTCAAAAGTACTTTGACCACGTGAAAATGTGTCCTTGAAAAAGCGAGATTACAGCCAGACATTATCCCTTTCCCAGCGCAGTCAGAAGGGAGTTGGTAAAAGGAGGAGTTTTGGACCCCAAAATGTACTTGACTGCAAACACTCCTAACACACTCCTGCAAAGACACCGTGACAGAAGTATGAAAACAAAATAAAAGAGGTGTTTATGCAGTACTCTCAGCAGGAGCTCACACTGCATCTTAAAGTACTCTACGGGAGACCTCACCTCCAGCGCTGCTCTACAAAGAAATCTTTCTGTGTTTGACAGAGAGAATGTGAGGTAGGTTGGCGTCATTTAGGGTAAAGACGATGGGGAAGACCGAATTGCGTCACGCTCGCTCACCAAATGCAGTGAGAAAACCTCACTGAAGTAAACCGGCGCCTTGAATTTGAAATTCAAGTTGATAGTTCGGTGAGTGTTGAATTTGTTACACTCGTGTACTGACCTTTGCGTATACCTGCATAGCTGCTGGACAGGCCATTCCGCTTCTTTCGGTGTCTGTACAACCAGATGCTGAAGACCATGAGGATAATCCAACAAGCAGCTCCTATGCCTGCTATAAATGCTGGCTGTTTGACCACATCTGAGATCTGCTGGGACAGGGGGTTCTCCTGGTTCACTGTGTCTGTCATTCGGCCAGAAGCATCTAGAACAGTGAGAACAAAGTAGAAATTATTTTTTGTGCTTTTTGTGATTATTAGACAGCATATTAGTAGACAGAAAAGCCGTGAAAGCGTGTGGTGGGACTTGACCCCAGGCTGCTGCATTTC